TGATCTCTAAGGTCCATTCCAACCCCTAAAATTCTGTGATATGCCATCAGGAATGTGCATTCAAGATTATCTACAAAGCAAGATAGTAATTTCTTGCATTTCTAAGTAAAAGAAAGAAAGAAACATAAATTGTTAACTGAAGAGGCATTTCCTAACTATTTGTAAATTTTTTCTCCTGAAATATTTTATAAAGATAATGATTATGATCTAAAACCATTAAGGATTTGACATTTCTTCCTGAGAACGAAATCTGAATTAACTCACTGAAGGTATTACAGAGATTTATTAGGCCTTCAGGTTCCTCATAGGTGAGAGAGAACTAGGCTAACTGAGCTACTTTGAATAACCACATCTACTTCATGTGATCAAATATTATAGAAACAGACTTCCCACAATGGAAAATAAGGCAAATCATCTCAGGAACATAATGTGCAGGTTGTGTTTTGTCTGACTTCATAGTTAAAGTTGATCACTTCATGACTGTGCAATTTTTAGGATTCTGATCTACAGCTAAGAAAAGTGATATGCAACTAACTGACAAAGGTAAACTAATTGCAATATTCATTTTGAATTAATGAGATCGTTAAGAAGTCATTGGTCAGACATTTTTGCATAGCTGGTGTAGAATTACAGCTGTTTATAAGAATGAATAGAATTGGAGAATTTCAGCAAGGAATATTTTCAGTTGTGGTCAACTCATTTTCAACAGGTCAGAGGGTGTTGAATAAACACACACAAGTGTTTTATCAAAATTCAAGTTTCCTCTTACATGTTGCCAAACTGACTCCACTTCTTATAACATGGACTAAGGAAAATGTTACTTACTACAGTTTTCTTCATCAGAATTATCTCCACAATCATTCTGGCTGTCACATCTCCAGTGGTCTGGAATACAGTTGTTGTTTTTGCACTGGAACTCATGAGGCCCACAAGTTTTTTTATCTGTAATTAAGACAAATATAATATTTACAGCATTGCAAACAAGCACTTTAAATGGTAAAGAATTCTATTAAAGACATGAAAATATTGCTGGATACATTTAAGAAGAAGCAAACATAATATTTAAAATGTCACTTTCAGGAGTAATTTGTTTCTCATACCACATTCTTTGAGCTTCTATTTATTCATTCATACCAAAAGAGACATGCTTTTAAATTTGATGATAAAATTAAAATATGGACTGCATACACTGTAAATTAAAGTAAAACCCACAACATTCAGATGCAATTACAAGTTAGTTCAAAGAGAGAGTATTATGCACTGAATCTCAAAAGCTGCATTAACTTTCCTGGAATTTATCCGTAAGACTGCTTCACAAAAGATTAAATCACAGCAAATCAGAAGAATATCAATTTGAAAATGTACAAAATACGTATTTCTCTGAAGTCATTTTTGCATATATTAATTTAAGACTAATCATACCTGACAGAAAAATTTGCACTGTGGTTTAAATTTTCACCTACTGAGGCACTGGATTGGAAGTCTGCTCATACAAGTAAAACATTATAATGCTAACTGAGATTAATTTTCTTCATGCTGTAAATTTCCAGCAAGCTTTCCTGTATACAGAGTGGCACTGGAGAAAAAGCCTCTTGGAGATCCATGAATATCCTGAACACCTCCAGCAGGAAGGAGCTGCCTCTGTGTTTTTATGAGTAATTCTTGACTAATTCTTTCCATTTCTAAGGACTGAGATGAAGTGAAGTAAATTAAAAAGTTATCAGTGACATTTTATTTGGGAAAAAAAAAAGAAGCTTGCTTTGTAAAAACCTCAATGACATATTTAAAATTACTTGTCACTGCGATGATATTTCAATAGAAATTTTGCGAATTTTTTTTTTAATCTACGTCAGTGCAGCTTCATACTGCTATCATGGCAACTCCATGGCTTCTGATAATGGACAGAATGAAGGAGAACTGAAATACCAGTTTAAATCAACCTGATTTCTCAACCTGTGAAATGGAAAGGACCACAAATTTTAGGGATTAGATTTGATGCTGTGGTCCAAACTGCTGCTTTTTCTGCTCTGTTTTAGTTGTGGTTCTGGAGGAGTGATAAATTAAAGCTACTTTTGAATATCAGGAGGGTGAAGGTAAATGGTGTTGCAGCTCAGGTGTGCACACTCCAAAATTTGCTAAGTACAGTAGTGCCTTTTGAGTTTATTCCTTATTCTTTGATTTTTGATCCTAAGTAGTTTTCTCTCAAAATACTTCTTCCTAGGATGTTTTTCATGATGACAATCCAAGACATTTCAAGAGTGACATATTAAATACTTGCATGGGCAAGCATTTAACAATAGTTAACATACAAAATATCAAAATATTCCCCCCCAAAACCACGACACTATTGTATTTTGATTCTGTCACTTCTCAAAAGACAAAGTTTCAAACCCACAATCCATCCTATATTTATTAAAGGATTTCTCGTAGTCTACAATCTTCCATTAACTTATTTGCCCACAAAATAAGTTCTAAATACTAATGACAGGTGTTGTCATGGTGACATGTAAATATCTTATTTATCCTTCCACATTCAATAGAAACACCAAGATTTAATCAGTCACACAGAGAATACAGAGATGACATCCCTTCATTTAGCCACCTGCTAGGATGAAGAGAACATCTTTTCTTACTCTTCAAAAAGAGTTATGTACTTCTCAAGGATGGTAAATCTATTTCCTAGCATTGCCTCTTTACACATTTGAAGAAAAGCTGGAGGTTTGTTGGGTTTGGGTTTGTTTTTTTTTAAATTTATCCAACTGTAGCTTAACCTTATGATTACTACTTGAATGTTAATCTTTCTCTTCTTACTCTTTTTCTACCAAACAGAAAAAAAATTGTAATTATTTTTTATACAAAATATTTTGCATGTTTGTAAGGCTCTCTCTTCTTCACAAATCTGAAAACTTCACTCTTCTTCTGGGTTGACTGATCTCTCCTAGCAGCTTACAATTGACAATGTCTTACAAACCAGGTTTGCTTGTCTTATGTTTCCTTCTTCACATAAATGAGAACAGAGGGAAACACTAGGATATTAGAAATAGCATATAACTAAAAGGAAAATTTGGGAAAGTTGCGTACCAATTATTTAATCTTTGAGATTAATCAATTTACTCAATTCAATGGAAAACAGTGGAAGATCTTACTGGTTTTGTATTGTGGAACCCTAAAAGCACACATGGGCCTACACACATTTTGTCACTGCTGTATCCAACACTAAATTGATTTCTTTTTTTAAAATGAGACTACCTCAAATGTGAAAGTTCAGATATGAATGGGACAGAGGCAAAGTAGTAAAGTACTGATAACTCATTTGTCATATTTCTCCCTTCAAATTATTATTAAGAGATTCACTGATCTACTGTAACAGGCAAAGGCCTTTTTCAGAAATTTATGTGGTTGCCTGAGGTAGCTGCTGGTTGCTTGGGGTTTGTCTTTTGTGCACACCAAACTAGGATTCTACTGCAGAAATACTTCTAAGTGAGCATGAGGAAAAGAGGCTGAAGGCTTAAAGTGGAAAAAAACCCCAACAAAACAAGCCCCAAAATTCATATTCACCCTAAAAGAATTTTGATTCAGATATCAATCCCTATGAATGAAAACACTGTTTTGCCACTAATTACACTACATTGCCATTTGGGGATTTTAATTCCATATATTTTCCCATCTGCATGTGCATGAAAGGGATAAAATCCAAAATGAAAAGAGACTCATGTTTGATCAAGAATCAGCTAACTATTCTAGAGCTTGGCAGGTTGTCCCCAATGCTGGAAATTTTAAGCCTCTTGAAGGAAGTTTAAGTTTATATAATGCATCCCTCAAATGCCTTAAAGAACATACTCTTCATCATCAGGAAAAAAAGAAGCCTACTTTGAATCTTAAGGCTAAAAAGAAAATTAATATTAAAAAAAAAAGTGAAGAACAGAAAGTAGTCACACTAATGTTGACACATTATGCTAATAAAGACCTGAAATACATATAACCTTCAAAGCAGATTATAATCACTTTCCAACACCACACACAGCTTTCCTCAGATTCTAACTCAAACTCACCCATTTCTGATGGAAAGTATTAAAGTTGAGAGCAAGGATTAACATAATCTAACGGCTTTCTTTAATTGCCTGGACAGTAAGCATGAATTAACTACCTACTGTTCTCTGAAAAACACAATACACTCATTAATAAACATGTATTTCCTAATTCTGCTTCAACTCTCTGAGTTGCAAAGTAACCACAGAAGACTAAACACATTTACATTACTTCTAGCAAATGTACTCAATAGAATATCACCAATAACACACAGTAGCAGATGTTGACTGAGCAAAATACATATGGCTATGCAGCACTTAAGCAAAAAGAGATTACCCTTTAGATGAGTTTTGCATTGTAAGCATTTTAGAAATGAACTCTAAACAATAACAAGTTAGTACTACATCAACATATGCTGATCTTTTTTATACTCAGCTTGCAGCTTTAGAATTTAATTCTATCAAATTTTGTCCATAAAAATAACAATCTTTAGTCTGAAACAAAATGCAGAAGATCAAAGCATGTTGAAACTACTGCCATAATAAGGTCATTTAAATATATTTCAAATACTAACAATATGGAAAACTTTAAAATGTGATTAAACACACCCTGTTCTTGCCAAGGCTTAGCTGTTCTATGTGTAGGCAAGCATGTGTGGTACAGAAATTGTGAATAGGGGTAAATTCTTCTGTCTCCTCCAAGAGAAAAATTTATATGTAGCTAGGAGATTGAAAATTAAAATGTAGGTGTTTTTTTCAGGGAGGTGTGTGATTAAGCTGTGCATCATCTTGTTGCAGCATGCTGTGAAAACTTCACAGAGGTAAAAAGAAAGTGAAAACCCTGAAGACTTATCACATACAGAGACATATTTGACTCATGACATCTCTAATTCTCAAATTGTTAGAAGCTGGAAGAGCATCTCAGGGAAGTTCCACTGCAGGCTCATTTTGCTCACATATTCTTCCCTAGATACTCAGTTTCTGCCACTGACAGAGACAGGATAAAAGGCAAGATGAGTCTTAGGTATGTTCTATAAAAGCCCAGAAGAGGATATAAACCATCTCTATGGCAAAAATTCATCTCCTTTGCATTCACAGTTTGTTCAAGCCAAAAGATTTCTTGCACTGTAACAATCCTCCAGTGGATAGGATCAGTTAGTTTCCCATTGTGACAATTCAAACAATAGTCTTGGATTTTCAGTGTTGAGGAAGAGTTAAATTTCCTGGGCATATTTTCCACCTTCAGCATTTTCATATACTGCTCGTGCCAATTGCTTGAAACATATCCATGGAAATTAGTTGTTTCTCAGTGCCTTGTCCTTGATTACAACCTGTAGTTTTGTTATTCTGCTGTCCAAGAGATAACATAAACTTCTCCAAGCTCATGTGTTTCATCAAATCATTTACTGATGTGTGGATTAATAATGGTGAGACTTTTGAATGTTCCATATGATAATTTGTCTTGTTCACCTTCATCTTGGAACATCTTTCTATATTTTCCTTGATAGACCTGTCTTGAAAATTTCATGTGTTTTTCTGCACACGGTTAGTGTGTGTCTTGCACTGACATCCATATTCAGTGATTTTCCAACAATACTGATCCACTCATTCTGCCTCTAATGATCTGTAAGCCATTTTCCTGGCAGCATATTTATATATGTTATTTTCTCTCATTTGCAACAAAAAGAACTGACTCAGTACTTTCAAACAGTGCAAGCAATGACTGAGAACAGCTACCACTGCTACTACAAAATGTAACCTCTTCTTTTTTTAATCTCTTCTTTTTTCACAAGTGATAGTTAATAGTAAACTAGGTCTAAAAGAACCCACCTCAGTGGGGTAGAACACTGTGTTCTGGATATTGTGTCAAAGCTAACAGAAATTAGGGTTTGGTAATGCTCAGATTTAATCCTTGATCTTCTCCATAGAGAATTTTCTTCCTCAAATGATCACATTTAAGTACAGAAGTTCCATAAGTATTATGGGTTCTTGGAGAAGTCCTTTGGGCATGCAAAGTTTGTGGAATGGTATGTTAAGGCACATAATTCCCTGGAGCTCACAGCGAGAAGCACAGGTTTGTCATGTCAAGTTGGAATCTGCTCTGGACCCTTCTACACAGTCAGTCTTAACTAACAGGATTTGCAAATTATAATATTTTCACTGTTTATGAACTACAGCAGCAACAAAGTATGCAGACCGAATTGCCAGAAACTGGGTAACACTGTGAGAAAAACAGAGAATGTTGTTGTGTCCTAGGAAAGTCACTATATTCTCTCTCACTATGCTTCTTTGATTGCATATTCCAAATGAGATACTCATTTACAGCTCCTGCCAATAAAGTAGTAGTATAATATGAAATTTATAGACTAGTCATACACAGATTACGTTTCAACAAGAACTGGATGAGCCAGACACACTTATCATATCAGACAGGTATTACCATACCCTGAAATGGGTCATAAAAAGTGAGATGATTATTTCCTTTTGCTATCTTTTGCAAAAATGTCAAACTACAGCAGCATATTCAAAGCCACCAGCATACTCACCACAGTTAGCTTCATCTGAGCCATCAGCACAATCTGGGTCTTCATCACATACCCACAGTTTGGAAATGCAGTGCTTTGTTGTTTTACACTGGAAATGGTCTGGAGAACAACTGTTTTCAGCTTTAAATAAAAAGAATTCCAAATCAAAACTAGAAATTTCTGCTCATATTCAAAATATTTGTTTTAAAGAAAAAATATATTAAGGATTCAACATTCAGAAACTGGATAGCTTCAGCATCATTTATGTAACATCTGTAAGAAAAGAGCATTCAGGTTTATACTGTTTATAATTTTGTTATTTTCTTATATATTATTTTAGCTATAACAGGAAGGTAAAACAAATATAGAAACCAAAGTATCTGTTGTGATATTCTTTTAACAATGAATAGACTTCACATGGACACAATTCAACCACTTCAGCAAAAATCATACAGATTTTTTTTTCCCTTCATCTAATTATCAAGTCTGAAAGTCAGTTTGAAAGACTAAGGCAGCTCTCGATGCTTTGGTCAAAAATGGAATCAAAACTATGTAGAATTTCTGTGAAATTCTGTGTTCTCTGTTAAATTGGATAAATAGTGAGAAAAACAAGGTTGACAAATATTTCCCTTTATCAGTTTAGCAGAACAATTTTTTGAATGAATCCTACAGCAAGGTAAAGATGGAAAGATGCAGTTGACCTTCAACCTATTCTTTTAAGATGCTCTAAGTTAAAGCTTAACTGCATTAACCTTAGAACAGCCACTTGGCAACAAGATTTTCAGTCTACTCATGTGATTGTGGATGGATTTGCTCATGTGCACATATGCCAGATCTTACTATTCCTTAAACTTTTATAGCTGAGACTATAGAGACAAGATGAATAAAGGACATTTCTGGACTGGACTGTGAATAAGCTACTTGTGATCAGATGCATAAGGATTTCTTTCAAGATAAGCATATGTAAGAGAACCTCCTAATCAATTCAGACTGAATTCAACACAGGTGGAAAACAGCAGGATCTATTCTCTGATAAAGTTTTTCCATGTGAATGTTTGTTTACTTTTACCTAACTCCATAAGGATTCTAACAAACTTCCTTATCCCTGTAATAATTTGCTACTTGATGCTATTGTTCTTGTTTCTTGGGTTTGGCAAGGAAAAAAAAGTTGGTTTATTCTGTGTCATGTTTCCATATATAAATTTACAGTGCTGGAATTTAAAAGTGTATCAATTAGGCTATGCTGCTAACTATGCTTGCCAAAAAAATAAAAATCTGTTTCTCAGCTAGGACACCTTCCCAGAGCATTTCTAAGCGCTTTACAAGGCATAATTTACCTCCATTTTACATATGGAAAGCCTTCAGTATGAAATGTGACCTTGAAAAATCACCTGATATATAGAATGAAACAGAGGCAGAGCTGAAAAAAAAAAAAAAGTGTGTATTTTATGAATCCTAATCTGGTGAAATTAGAATGAAAGACAGAATCTCAGCTGTAACTTGTTTTGTGACAGGAGCCCAAGTCAATATGAACTTTGTGGCAGATCTGCTTAAAACCCTCCCTTTTTGTTACCTTCCCAAAGGCAACTGAAGATTTTTCAGAAGCCACAAGCAAAGTTCTATTGAAGTATAAGTTACAACACTTAACTGCCCTAAGAGAGAAGCTAACAAAGCCAGAACAGAAACAAAAAAATGTATACAATTAACCTCCCCCATTCTTCACTGCTTCTTTGCAGGGGGGTTGAAGCCTGAGTTTCAGATAACTCTATTCTTCACTGTTTCTTTGCAGGTGGGTTGAAGCCTGAGTTTCAGATAACTCAAAAACTTGCTCTGTGGCACAGCAAACTGTCCTGTCCCTGTTAATCCCTAGGATGTTTTCAACTCCATCACCACTGATCCTAACCTTAGCCTTATCCCTGTGGTCCCTGAGCACTGCTGTGCTGCAGACTCCACTGGTTTAATTTCTGCCAGCTACACCTCAAGGTTTTGGGAACCTTCCATATACTGTGTGCAGGTCTTTATAAGGAAAAATCAACTCCCTCCATCTTTCACAGGAATTTACCTGACCCCATTTAATCAGTTTGCAAAGCAACATAACATGCAAACCAACATATAATGCTGCCTGTCAGAGGCTACAGCTCTCCTGAGCTGTTTGGAAGACAATCATTAAACATGACCATCAACAAAACCTTTTCATCCTTATCAACCCTTCCCTTGGAGAAGGATATGTTTTTTGCAGAAATGCAGTGCATGAAAATCTCAAGAAACTTAACACAGAAGCCAAGAATAAGCACCTTAGATCAGCACTAGACCCAAGTAATGAAATGAGTGAAAGACAGAGATATATTTCAAGACAGCACCATCATCTTAATTACAGAATGATCAAAGACATGAGTTATTCAATGCATTTCTATTCTAAATTGGAAAATATTTTCTCTACTTATATCTAACAAATATGGAGTGAAAATGAATTTATGAAAAGTAAGATACATTAAAAGCTGAGCAAATGAAAATCCAGTTATGTAGGCAAATTAATAAAGAACTCCTCAGAGGAAAAGGAATAGAAAAGGAAAAAAATCATTCAAAGGAAAAGGATGTAAAAGGAGCCATGGATCTACAGCTTTTCCAACAAAAGACACTGAAAAATATCTTTTGCCATTGAAATGAATTGCTGCAGGGCATGGCAGATAAAAGACTCAAGAAGATGAGTCATTTGTGAGGTGGTTAAGAGTAAAATAGGTGTTTCAGCCTAAGCCAAAAACCTAATTTAATGCCTGAAATTGTTTACACCCCCCTCTTCTTTGCATAGACTTTAAAAATGGTATTTTAGTTTGTTCTCTCGTATATGAAGCATCATATATCAATCAATCCTGGGCATAACTGGTTTGCATGTTCCAAAATTATTTTATATTGAGGACATTTACAGTATTTTACATGTTTTATTCCATTTATTTGCTTAAAACCAGCTACTGATGCCAGAGGAAAATTCTCTAAACATAACTTACGACAGTCTCTTTCATCTTCTTCATCACCACAGTCATCCTGCCCATTACATCTCAAATTTATGGGAATACACTTCTGGTTCTTTGTGCACTTGAACTGACCTGACAAACACACATGGGTGTCTGTAAATGAAAAGAATAAAAACAACAAGTTAAAAAGATTAGAAAATTCAAAACTCAAAAGGTAAACGAAAAAAATAGTTTACTGATAGAATTTGAAGCATAGCATTTAAATCAGTTTAGCAGGTTTCTCAAGTCAGCAATGTATATAATCACCTACCACAGTTCAGTTCATCAGAATTGTCCCCACAGTCATTCTCTCCATCACAGATAAAGGCTGGAAGAGCACAAAGTCCAGTTCCACACTGAAAACGTCCTGGCTGACATCTGAATTCAGCTGAGAAAAAAGAAAACTGCTTATGAATACTATCAGAGGAATGGTAAAAGTATTGTAGAATCA